GATCAAGAGATACAAAGAAACAAATGATTATAATAGAACAACATATCAAAACTTTTGGGAAATGGCAAAAGCAGTCATAAGAGGAAAGGTCATATCATTACTTGCCTATCCCCAAAAACAAGAACGAGCCCAAATAAACAACCTAATGCTTCATCATAAAAAAAAAAAAAAAAACTAGAAAAGAATAAATGAAGCCTAAAGTCAGCAGAAGGAAAGAAATAATCAAAATTAGAGCAGAAATAAATGGAATTGAAAACAAAAAAAAGCAATATATAAAATAAATGCAACAAAGAGCTGGTTCTTTGAGAAGGTTAATAAAATTCACAAACCCCTGGCTAGACTTACTAAAGAAAAAAGAGAAAGGACACAAATAAAATCAGGGATGAAAGAGGAGAAATTATGACAAACCGCAAAAATACAAAGGATCATAAAGAATACTATGAAAAAGTATATAACACCAAATTCAATAACCTAGAAGAAATGGACCAGTACTTAGGAATATACAACCTACCTAGACTGAATCAAGAAGAACTGGAAAATCGAATTAGACTGATCAGCTGTATGGAAATTGAAACAATCATTAAAAACTTACCCAAAAGTAAAAATCCAGGACCAGATGGCTTCACCAGTGAATTCTACCAAACATTCAAAGATTTAATACCTATTCTCCTCAAACTCTTCCAAAAAGTCGAAGAGGAGGCAATACTTCTCAACTCATTTTATGAGGCCATTATTACCGATAACAAAACCTGGAAAATGTAACACATAAAAAGAGAACTACAGAACTATAGCTCTCATGAACACAGATGCAAAAAACTTAAATAGATACTAGAGAACTGAATACAGCAACATTTTTAAAAGATTATACACCACGATCAAGTGGGATTCCTCTCAGGGACACAAGATGTTTCAATGTATGCAAATCAATTAATGTGATACATACACCACATAAACAAGTTAAAAAATAAAAATCAAATGATCATATCGATAGGTGCAGAAAAAGCCTTCGACAAGATACAGCATCCATTTATGATCAAAACACTTAACAAAATTGGTATAGAAGGAAAGTACCTTAACATAATAAAGGCCATATATGACAAGCCCTCAGCTAACATTATACTTAATGGCAAAAAACTAAAAATCTTCTAAGATCAAGAACAAGGCAAGGCTGTCCACTATCACCACTGTTATTCAATATAACATTGGAGGTCCTAGCAAGTGCAATCAATCAGGCAAGAGAAAGATATAAAAGGCATCCAAATAGGAAACAAAGAAGTCAAACTGTCACTATTTGCAGATGACATGATTCTCTCGATAGAAAACCCTAAAGACTCCACAATGACACTAATAGAAACAATAAGCAAATACAGTAAAGTTTCTGGATAAAAAATCAACGTTCAAAAATCCATAGTGTTCCTATACCCAAATAATGAAGTGCCAGAAGAAGGAAGTGGAAAAAATAATTCCTTTTGAACTTGCAACAAAAAGAATAAAATACATAGGAATAAATTTAACGAAACATGTGAAGGACTTATATAATGAAACGAAAATAACTCTATTAAAAGAAATCGAAGAAGATACAAAGAAATAGAAAGATATTTCGTGTTCTTGGATTGGAAGAACTGACATAGTTAAAATGACCGGACCGTATAAAACATTATACAGATTCAGTGCAATCCCCATCAAAATCACATCAGCATTTTTTAAAGAAATAGAACAAAAAATCATCAGATTTGCATGGAAGCACAAAAGACCCCGAATTGACAAAACAGAACGTGG